CTTTGTGCATAACTACAAACAAACAAACAAATCGATACCCGTGGTGGACAGAGCATAGATAGCCCATTGTGTAGCTTTGTGCATAACTACAAACAAACAAACAAATTCTTGTGTAAAAAAAACTGACATGAATCTGAACCCTTCCTATTAGAAAACGTTTTGTTGTTGTCCCGTGAGAAAGGGCGGCATTTATCCTATATGTTAGAAAACGTTTTGTTGTTGTCTCGTGAGAAAGAGCGGTATTTATCCTATGTGTTAACAAACGTTTTGTTGTTGTCTCGTGAGAAAGAGCGGTATTTATCATATATGTTAGAAAACGTTTTGTTGTTGTCTCGTGAGAAAGGGCGGTATTTATTTTATATGCTAGAAAACTTTCTGTTGTTGTCTCGTGAGAAAGGGCGGTATTTATCCTATGTGTTAACAAACGTTTTGTTGTTGTCTCGTGAGAAAGAGCGGTACTTATCCTACATGTTAAATCCTTCGAATTTTAGTCTGCCTCAAAGTTTTGATATAGAAATAGCTGAGATTTTATTGTCTCTGATAATATTATGTTTGAAATTAGAGTTGTTTCGTAAACTTGTTAATGCATGCTAAAAAATATCCGTGTATTAAAGCAGTTGAAAACAAGCATAATATCTCGTTTCTAAATAATATCATGATATATCATTTCAAAATCATTAAAATTCGCGTTATACATAAGCTTATTTTTGTGATGTTTTATCAGTCTAACAGATGCGAATCAGCTTTTAGTAATTAAGGTACTGTAATCTTTGAACTGATGCAACATTCTAATAGGCGTTTTACTTTAATAATATGTAGCGCAATCTAATAATAAAACTTGTGTATTGTATAAATGTTGGCAACATGTTGGGCAGATACAAAGCAGGAAAATGGACTGTTCATATTGGCAGTATTTGATAACTCTTGTTTAACAAAGATAAGTGGCAGTATTTGATAACTCTTTTTTCACAAAGATAACTGACAGTATTTGATAACCCTTGTTTAACAAAGATATATGACAGTATTTGATAACCCTTGTTTAACAAAGATATATGACAGTATTTGATAACCCATGTTTAACAAAGATAAGTGGCAGTATTTGATAACCCATGTTTAACAAAGATAAGTGACAGTATTTGATAACCCGTGTTTAACAAAGATAAGTAGCAGTATTTGATAACCCATGTTTAACAAAGATAAGTGACAGTATTTGATAACCCATGTTTAACAAAGATAAGTGGCAGTATTTGATAATCTATGTTTAACTTGTTTTACAAAGATTTCAACTACGTTAATCAATGTAACTCTTTTTACTTTGGATGTAAAATAGCTATATTCTAAAACAAAGTTATCGAAATTTACAAAACACATTTTCTAAACACATTTTCAAATCTAAGCTATTGTCTGAAAGCAGCTAAAAAGACGGTCACTTAATACTCTCTGAAATTGTTTAAGATATCTGTGAACATACAATTATTTCATGGAATTATAACATTGTTTATTCAGAGTAAAGATGAATTATCATTCAAATATTATACTAATATTACGATTGGCTGTGTTAAAGAAGATATGGATATCTTGTTCGATCGTTCACATGAAAAAGTTATATAAAAACGTTTTATTAAAAAAAAACTGCCCAAAAAGCAACAAATATAGCTAATAGTAATGACTGCCTCACGCTTTGGACATAATTGGTCGAGTTTTTATTATAATGAAAGTGTTAACTTCTACAAATTGCTTCATAATGTTCTAGGTTCGAATTTCGCTGCTGTACTTTCAAAAATGTTTCTTTTTACTTCGGCTTTGAAACCTAATACCTCTGTGGAAAAATAAATGAAAAGTGAAACGAGTATGAAGTGAACGTAATGTTAATTTTCTCACTTTTTAAAAATGTATATTTGTGATGTACAATGTGAACTAATAATTTAAATACACCCATTAGCAGTCGTGTAGTCCTGCCGGGTCGGGAGGGAGCGCCAACCCTTGACTTCATATCTAGGGGAAGCGCCAACCCTTGACTTCATATCTAGGGGGAGCGCCAACCCTTGACTTCATATCTAGGGAGAACGCGCCAACCCTTGACCTCATATCTAGGGGGAACGCCAACCCTTGACTTCATATCTAGTGGAACGCGCCAACCCTTGACTTCATATCTAGGGGGAGCGCCAACTCTTGACTTCATATCTAGGGGGAGCGCCAACCCTTGACTTCATAT